AAAACAAAAAATGAGGGAAACATATGAAAATTGAGGGGAAAAAGAAGAAAATGCAAAAAAATCAACTAAAGATAATAATATAGAAAAAAAAAGCCTTGAAAAGAAAAAAATTAAACTTACCAAGTTGTTGGAAAACAAGAAAAGTTGAAATTTTCAACTTGTTTACAATCTGCTAAAGATAATAACCTGATAATAATGGTGAAGACTTGAGAAAATCTTGTTATGGATATTTGGGTTAAAAATGGTTAAGAAGAAAAAATTGAAAAAAAAAAATAAGAGAAGAACTTGATGTTTTAATATATTTGTTAGTCAAGTAGAATTTTCAACAAACTTAACTACAGTCTGGCGGTAAGATTGTCATATGCAAACTTGGAGACCCAGGTTCAAATCATAGCTACACCATTCTTGATATTTTGTTGAAAAATTTAAAAAACCGCCGGTTCACGGTTCTTAACGGTTCACACGGTTCGTCCGGGTTTCAACGGTTCTCCATGAACTTCTGGCTTTAGCATTAGACCGGACCGGTGACATGGCCGGTTCGCGGTCCAACCGGTCGAACCGGCCGGTCCGGTCCGTTTCTGTAAACACTGCCTGTACCTTTCTCAACTATTTCCCCCTCACATATTGGGTCTTAAGTTAGAACAGTATCAACATTTTATACATTTTATTCGACGTACAACATTGCATTCAAGTGTCTAGTAGGTGGAGTTGCCATTACTACGCTCCGATAACAATGCTGGGTAGGGATGGCAACAGGACAGGGGATCCCTCTCCCGTCTCCTGCCCTATTGCCAAATATCTCCCTCTATACCCACCCTATCCTTTGCCCCTGCTCCTCCTCCCCTGCCCTTACCTCGGCTAGCTCCCCTCAAGGTATTTGCTGGGGAATGATAAAAAATTGATCCTATAGTTGTTTGCTTCCACAATAACTAACAAAAATTCAACATATCAACCCATGGGCGCGGCTGTCCCTCATTGCCATCCCTAGTATTGAGTGTTTCTGGGTCTTCTCGTCACAAAAGCTATCTCAAAAGTTAAGGTTTTCTCTCACACTTATAACCAAATATCCTATCACTTCTACAATCATGCAGAATAAACTCAAAATTCCCCATTCACATCGGACCCGGGGTTGGAATAACTTCGACCTTTCATTCAATGGGTCTAGCCTAGGATAACACCAACCCTTCATCCGACAATCAACGTTTCATTCAAGTGTTTAAATTGATTAATTTTTCATTTGAAGATGCAATTGGTCAATAATTGATAGTTTAAATACTAATGTGTTATGTTAAAATGTTTGAGAACGAAATATATCTATGACCTCAATTTTAGGGATAAAAACTGGCATTTTCCCGCTTTTACTCTTTTCTGTCAATATGTTAAGTTATAAGATGCTATGGGATAAAGGAAAAAACATTTCTTTGAAAACTTCCATTTAGGAGATACTTAGGATGCGAGTTTATGGGATCCTTTATGACTTCATTGCGTTAGTACTCTTTCGTGTTGGACCTCAATAGTTCAGAGTTCTATGTTATCTCCTGCCACAATATCAGTTGAAGTTTGCTAAATACAAAGAGTATAGGATCAACAATTTGTCACTCTATGACTATAAGATTAATTATTAAGGCCCTAAAACTTACCTTTGATGATCTTCTCTTTTCTAGTCCACATAAGCTAGATTGATTACATACTATTTGGAGAAAAATTTACCATCCTGAAGTTAAAACTGATACATTTCCATTTATGGCTTCAGGGATACATACTTGGACATCCAACGACTAAAGTTCAAGGAATTCTTTACTGTGTAGTCCCATTTGCTTATAGTATGGGCCTGATTTCTGATGAACTCTATGAGGAATTTTGATGAACTATGGGAGGGACGTGGGAGGAGGGAGAGGATAGGGAGGAGGTTGCAAGCTGGTGACGTTGGCATCGGCTGGCCAACAGTGGCGGGGTGAGGTGGGGGAGAAGGAAGAAAATGATGGAAAAAGTGAAAAATTTGCGTGTTCTTCGATATTAAAGGACGTGTACAATAAAAAATTTGAGATGTTTATAAAGAATTACTGTAATCAAAATAATTAAAAAATTTGTCTATTAAAAATTAGACTAAAAACTTGCATGCGAGACAGGTTCTGGAACTAACCGAGAATTATACTACAGTTGTAAGGCCACAATTATGGTATTGGATTTGGACCTCACATATAACTGTACTATAATTGCACGGAGTTTCAGTGTTCCTCGTATAGCAACAGCAATTGCCCCACGATAATTTGAAGGAAAATGAAAACAAAGGAAACAAAATTAAAATCAGTTTTGCCGATTAACGTCAAAGAAATATTTTGACAAAAACTAGGAAAGTCTTCATTATTGGTCCCCAAATCTGCAATGAGTAATGATTAAACTTTTATCGTACGTACCAAAAAAGAAAATTGAAATCGACTAACATGTTATTGGGATTCAAGGCCGAAATAAGCAGCTAATAAGACGTCAAGTTAATAACAATTTAAGGAAAATGAGTCAAAAACAAGAAAATACAATTGACAGGAAAGATTTAACATGTTCATATTAATGATCCATTCTTTATTATGAAAAAAGTTCATACAAAAATACAATTTGAATTATAAACCCAACCCTTGTGTAATGTTTCTCATATTGGATCTGTTGGATCCTTCTGTTTTTCAAAAATTAGTTTTCAAATACTATAAAAATTTTTAAAAAGTACTCTAAAAGGTACTCTAAAAAATAGTCTAAATTTTTTTAATGTTTAAAAAATATCCCAAAATATATTTTAAAAACTCTACTACTCTTAAATATTTCAAAATATTTTCTAAAAATATCCCAAAATATACTCTAAAAACTCTGCTACAGTAAAATTTTTCAAAAACACCCCAAAAAAATTTTCCTTTTTCTCACTCTCATCTATAACACATGACTCCTTTTTGTGTACTTTAATTTATGATAAGACAGTCCCCTTCAATTTATAGGATATATTACTTGACAAATACTTCAATAATAATAAAAAAATAACTTACCTGATTTCCAAACGTATGTAAATACAAAAATTTCTTGGCAACTACTCCAAATACGTATAAATTACTAGAAACTATTTACTTGTCACACAAATAAAAATTGCCTAAAGAAAATAAGTAATTTCCTAATAATCTCCACCAAAAAGCTTGATGTGTAGTTATACATACCGAATTATTACGTTAGTGTAATGTCCATATATACATAGCTAATCCGAGTCCAACTTTTAGCTGACTTAAGTTTGTAGGATTTGCCTTTTCACCACTACTTACAACTTGAAAGTAATCTTGGATCCCTTTTTTAATTCTGCTCCCAACTATTGAGGTAATCAATAAACAAGTTTTTATTTATTTTTTTAAAAAATCACCATAATTTTCCCCTTCACAATATTGTCTAACCCGTGTGTGGTTTTTAAAATTCCACCATTAATGAAAACCTCGTAACTTTGAGAGTCTCGGGATGCATGAGAGTTAGATTTTTTTTTTTTTGGATTTTTTGGATACACATGTCATACTGCTCAAACAACAAAACTGAAATACATCCAACATCAAGTACATACCATTGGAAATTGTTAAGAACATTTCCACTAAATTACATCCTAATTTAACATTGGACTTTATGTTTTTCCATGTCCTCTGAATCACTTGCCCAAATTTACTATCAAATATCCTCTATGTTTGTTGTCTTTCAATCCTTTCCCTTCAATGCCAAGCCTTTTTGACATGAATATTCTTTTGCTATTAAATTATTGAATTGAAAATTACCGCAACTCACTTAATACCAATAATTAACCAAAACCTAGCTATGATATTATACCAGATGTTGAGATCCAAGTGCTAACGAAGAATCATTGAAAAATTAAGTGCATGACAATTTAAAGAAAACAAATAAAAAACATGAAACTTCAAGTAGATACAAGATTAATGTGGTTTGACTCAATTATTAAATCTATATCTATAAAGACAAAACTTGATATGTGAGAAAAATAAAAAAATCTAATTTGAATCCTGAGGCAACCGTATTATGACGTTTCTCACGTAACAGGAAGCCCTTCCCTCACTCTCATTACATGTTACTACTTAAAACAAAAATAAGGCAATTTTCATAACAAGGTAAATTTTATTTCGTCCTTACGCCACTTTTTTAAGAAGAAAAGTTTAAGTATGATACTTGGTAAAGAAAAGTGCACGTAACTTGAAAGTTGGGTGGCAACTTCAAAAAATTCTTCAATAAACCAAACTCGTATATTAAATTTTTAACGCATGTCAATCATCCACCAACTAAGATATCCATAACGAAGTTATCTTGTGTGGGGATTTTAGCATTGTATGATTTATAATTTGCTTGAAATATATTTTAGCCATTAAAATGAGAGAGCTCAAAGGATAGTGAGATCTTTTTCTTTTTCTTTTTTGATAAATTCTTCTGATGAATTGCTTTGTTTTGATCGATCATTCATTGGTACTTGACAGATTTTATTCTATCATCTTTTCGCAAACATTTTGATAGTTATTTATATACTGTTAAAATTTAGGTAAACTTAATTTTCAAAAATTTAATAGTTCAAATTGTATTATACACCATTTGACTAAGTAAAGTAACGTAATTTGGACCATCTTTGAAAATCGGAGCTAAGTCTTTTCCATGCCCCTTCACAGTAAAGCTATCATTTCTAATGATAGTTCGATCGTGCAATGCATGGGACTAGGAGCAGGAATGATTGCAAGTGTAATCGTTTCGACAGTTATGTGCATTTTGCATACGGCATAATTTTATTACATGTAATATAATTTACTTTTAATAACATGTAAATTTAGAATAAAATTTTATGAGTCTCACGTATGTTATTAAAATCAAGATATAAGATAAAATTTTGACCATATAATTTTTTTTACCAAATCTTAGTCGTGAATGGTCAGAAATGGTTGTTCCTCTTCCCAATGCATGAGTTGGCAAACAAGACATTTGTGTTGCTAGGGTCAGTTAAATTATTGGCTCCGATAAGGCGATTCTCTGTAGACATAGCAGCTTGTGGGTTAGAGTTCCAAAGTTCCAAGAGCTCTATCCAAGGATCTGGAGTCTAAAGTTGCTGCGCCTAGATCCCAAAACGAGAGATAGGCCAAGCTCAATGGAGAAGTTGCAGGTGCTCCTAAGGCATCCTATCTTCTGCAACCTGCTCTTGCTGCTAGTTTATGTTCAAGCATGTTCAAACCTTGCGATGGCTGGTTCCATAGTTAAGTTTCTTCCAGGATTTGAAGGACCCCTCCCCTTTGAACTCGAAACCGGGTGAGCCACTAAGTATAACATATATATAATAACACTAGAAATTAACATTGATCAAAACTTAGAAGAAATAGTTGATCCATTTTCTGATATTATCAGGTACATTGGAGTTGGTGAATCAGAGGATGTGCAGCTCTTCTACGCTTTTATCAAATCAGAGTCAAATCCTCAATCGGATCCTCTTATCATTTGGTTAGATGGAGGACCTGGCTGCAGTTCATTTATTGCATTTCTCTTTGGGATAGGTGAATTCTAATGCCTTACACTTTGCAGTAGGTGTCACAAAAAAAAAAAAAGGAACAATTGCGGCACTATTTTGATCTTGATTTTGTATAATCTTGAAACTCTGCAAACAGCCTTTCTGGTTGAAACTCTGCAAAAAAGACAAAAGACGTTGTCTGGTTGACGAAGCTTTATGTAAGGTCTTTTGTCGCCAGTAGCAACTGCTACAAACATCTGTACAATAACTAACTACACATTCACATCAAATTAAAAAGCCCAAATATAAACTAAGCTCCAAAAACACATACCTAAATATTTTTTCATATGCATTGCTACAATAAAGCTTTTGAAAAACGTTCCTAAAAATGGAGCCATAATCTTTATTTGTCTTTAATGTTCAAGTGATGATGACTGATAAACTGGAGTGCCAGCATTTGATCAAGTCACTGGCCCGTGATTTCCTGTTGCAGGACCAGTAATTTTGGAGCCATTGTCGTTCGACGGCACTCTGCCCAAATTGGTATTAAATCCCTCTACTTGGACCAAGGTAAACTCAAGAATTGAGTTTCTCTTTTCTTTTCTTTTATTTTCCTGCGAGAGAAAAAGAGATTTAAGTTGATGAGTATATCTTAGACTCATAGAAGTGTTACACGAAAAGGTTATTGAGATACATATATAAATAAGGTTCCAATTTTTTTCTTTTTTCTTTTTTTTTTTGAAATAATGTTCAAATAATCTTTATCCAAACAAACCTAATTTTCAAGATTAAGAATTCGAGTAGACTACAAGATTGAGAATCATTTCTTGTTACTTGTTAGGTTGTAAGCATCATCTTTCTGGATTCGCCAGTTGGAACGGGTTTTTCTTATGCTAAGACTGCAAAAGCTTCTCAATCTTCAGATTTTCAAGCCTCTGATCAAGCTTATGAATTTATCAGGAAGGTACACGCCCATCACTCAGCTAATTAATGAATCGTAAGGCTTCATGGAACGTTGGACAATTACTAATTAGGAAAATGCCATATTTGTCTCTAGACCCTTTATTATGCAAAAAGACCAGTGTACTATCATTTAATTGTTTTCCTTCAGAATAGTGGAATCTTGCATGGCTCTGCCCAAAATTGCCTCCATTGGATTCAAGTTCTCTATGAACACAGTTTTGATTGTATAGAACAGTTGACAGTGGAAGGTGAATAAAAGTTACATCAATAATAACTGGCTATGGTAGTTTCGACAGTTAGCATCATGGAAGCCATAGTAGAGGAGGAGGTCTTGCATGGGGAAAGATCCCAAAGTCTCATGAAATGTGGCAATCTCTAGAATGGAATATCCCACTCACAGTGTTTAGTTAGTGAAATGTTCTGATACGGACTCCTATGATAATTAGTTTAACATGTATACTGAGATATTCTATCTCTTGTACAAACTTCTCCAATATCAATGAACTTACAGTTTTACCTTGAAAAGATAGTGGAAGATGACTAATTTTGAATTTGATGCTTACAATTCAATTTTGGGTACAAATTTCAATAAGCGAGGCAATTTATTGTCTTTTTGCATGTTGTTGTATCTTAATGTCTACAATTGGTTTGCTAGTACCTATAGTACACAGTGCAATTACAACTGCCAATTATAGAGGCTTGGGCAGGCGATATTTGTTGCGTTTTTACCCATTTGAACCTCGAGTTAAAAGCTTAATTTCCCTTGAAATGGGAAAGAAATTATAGTTAAAAGATGTTTACCTTTTACAAGATTGGTTTTGATAGTTGATTATACTGCAGTGGCTACATGATCACCCAGAGTACAAGTCGAATCCATTCTATGTTAGTGGAATCTCGTATGGGGGAATTCCTGTTCCAATATTAACTCAACTTATATCAAATGGTAAGATTTTTTCAATGTGGCTCTTTACCCTGGGGAAGTTTTTTGGTTGTGTTACAATCTGATTATTGAAATTGTCATGCAAATACATAGGCATTGTAAGAGATCTGAATATACTATAAATGCTTTCTGTAAGCTTGTAGTATATGCGAAGTCTCTTTTGGTAGGAATGTAGTTGCCACCTTAAGCTAAATGGGTTTTATTAACATAATGCAGAGCTTTAAGAGGGGGAAAAATGGTTAAAATTTCCCTCAGAAATTTGCAGGCTTTTTATTCTTTTCTGTCAATATGTTAAGTTATAAGACGCTCCAGGATAAAGCAAGAAAACGTTTCTTTGACCAGTTCAGAGTTCTACATTATCTCCTGCCACAAGATGATCAGTTGAAGTTTGCTAAATACAGAAGTATAGGATCAATACTTTGTTGCTCTATGACTATTAATAAGGCCCTAAAACTTACATGTATTTTGGTGTTATTCCAGGAAACAAGGACGGAATTGAACCACGTATTGACCTTAAGGTCTATACCTTTGATGATCTTCTCTTTTCTAGTCTACCTAATCTTGATTGACTACATACTATTTGGAGAAAAATTTACCATCCTGAGTTTAAAATCGAGACGTTTCCATTTATGGCTTCAGGGATACATACTTGGAAATCCTTGGTCGAAAGCTTCAGGAATTCAGAACTATAGGGTTCCGTTTGCTTATGATATGGGGCTGATTTCTGATGAACTCTATGAGGTAACTTATTTCTTTTGTTTGTTACCTATTGATATCTTAGAACACTGTCATTTGTCACATGCATTCTTACAATGTAAAACTACCAGTGATTTTCTAATTGACCTGTATATTTACAACGCAGTCCTTGAAGGTTAGCTGTAAAGGGGAATATAAAATCATAGATCCCAGTAATGCAGTGTGTTCGAAAAATATGCAGGCATACAATGAGGCAAGCAATCATATCTATGCAATTTTTATGTGACTCTATTTTCAAAAATTAGGCAAGGCCTAATGGATTTACTTAAAAGCGCCCCCTAAACTCAAGAAAGAGAGACAGAGTTAAGGATCATCAATATAACCGTTCCTGAATAGTGTAATATCATTTGAACAAGAAGTAATTTATTGTAACTTACTCATACAATTTCGTAACAGAGTTGCAGTTAATGTTAGGGGCTTACACAAGCAGTAATTGAACATCATACTTCTGTTACGAAATTGTAGAAGTTAACAATGAATTAAGGTTTATTCAAACAATAATACACTTTTCAGAAACGGTTGTACTAACAATTGGTTCCTACCCCTTCCCTTTAATTTGCGGGCCACAAAGGTGAAAAGGTGGGAAGAATCAGAATAAAGGAACGGGCAACCAGAATGATGGTTAATAATTTGCTTCTGCAGTTGCTTTGTAATATTGACAAACAAAATATCTTGATTCCCGTATGTCATCCCCTTTCACGAGAGCCAAATAAATTATTTACTGGTGGGAGATCCATTATACAAATGTCGTATGAGAAGTTTGGAGAGCTAGACGTTCGGGAATCGACTCCAGTCATATGTCGAGTAAGATACTACTAGTATTGTTCTATGTAAACTCGTGGATAAGAGCATCAGTTCTTGGTAGCACAACTGATCGCGTTTCTTCTGTTCACTGGCAATCGTAGACGGAACGGATTATGCTCCTTCAGCACTGGGCTAACAACAAGAGCGTCCAAGAGGCCCTCCATGTGCGAAGGGTATGTCTAAATCAAGCACTATGGTATGTAGCATTTGAATGCCGAAGCAAGCCTGAACTGATTTCTGTAATCACATTGCAGGAAACTATCGGAGAGTGGGTAAGCTGCAGGGATGCCTTGCCATACACAAAAAATGCAGCGAGTGTTGTACCATATCATGCAAACCTTAGCACTAAAGGTTATAGATCCCTTATATACAGGTTTGGTACCTAACTCTGAATCTTGATGCATGTAGGTTAACAGCAGTGATTTTAAGTACTGAAAGTGGAGTACTTTGTGATTCAGTGGTGACCATGATCTGATGGTACCGCACATTGAAACTCAAGCGTGGATAAGATCTCTACATTACCCAATTATTGACGATTGGAGACAGTGGATTCATCAAGGCCAAGTTGCAGGGTTGGTTCAAAATTGAACAATGTTTCTTTTCTTGATTACACCACCATTAACACGAGATAAAAAGATAACTTTACCCAACTCATCTAAATTTGTTCTGTTTTCCTGCTTCCAGTTACACAAGGACCTACGCAAATGAGATGACATTTGCAACAGTGAAGGCAAGAAATTCCTGTTTCTATTGCTTCAGTGCAAGATTTGTTCACATGGTAACGACTAACAACAAGGTCAGAACATTCTTGGGACTAACTAGCACCCCTTTTTTCTTTTTCTTCTTTTTGGGTGAAGGGAGGAGGCCATGCTGCTTATGAGTTCAAGCCTGCCGAATGCAGAACTATGTTTGAGAGATGGATATCGCATCAGCCTCTCTAATCAGTTGGCATATGGATATGAACATCTTTGATGACTTCTGAGCATCAAATGTTCCACTCTTAAATATAAATTACTGTAACTTTGGGTCATGAGACGCTTCTACTCCGAGTCTCCAAGGGGTTGCCTTCTTATTGAGATATGATTAGTAGAAAAGTGAATAAAATGTAGTAGTTAAAATGGGAATCACGTTACTCCAAACCTTTCTATATGACTGTTGAAGCTTTTACTTTGAAGATATGTCATTGAAGTAAATTTCCTCTATTTTGCAATAAATAAAATTTTGAATTCACAGGAAAGTACCGTTGGCCAAGGAATTCAAATATTAAAAAAAATTGTTACTCCATTAAACATGAATGGAGGGAATCTACCAAAGCTTTTAAAAGATGAAGAGGAGCAAGAAAAGGAATTTCTTATACATAATTGAAAAGTAATTTTCTTGAGAACACTTTTAAAACCAAAAGAAGATCAAAAGAAGAAATCCCTCGTGTCTAGGATTGATCCAATCACTTTTTAAGCGAAACTGTGACTCAAAAGTATCTTAAAAGCCTTTTTGTTTTGGGTAGCCTTAACTTACGTTTTTGTGGCCATTGATGATCTAGTCATCGAAAGTTTACACTTGACTTACACTTGAGTAGATCAGATCTTTAAAAATGTAATGGGTCAAATTATGTTATTCATCTCGTCAAGTGGTGTGACTTAATCTGAACTACTGAATTTTTAATATTCGGATCTTCTAAGTTTTGGCTGAATGTATTAAGGGTACTAGGAGGCATAAATCGCGTGATGGGTGTAGGGAACTAAAGACAGTATGCCCAAGCAAATATGCGGATTAAGGGAGTGATTGAATTTTGGTGTATTCTTCTTTTATCCAGCATGGCATGCAAAATTTTTTTTTTTTTTTTTTTTTGTATATGAGTATGAATACGCATGGCAGTTAACAAGGGGAAAAAAATCACTGAGCTATATAGAATAAGGTTGATAATCCAAAGTGCGTCAAACTTCAGGGCAATGCAAAGACTTCAAATCCATTGCATTACATGAATTTGGCAATGATGATGATGATGTACCTGGCTGCTGCACTAGATAGCAAAATCACAAACTGTAAAGCGAGATATTCTCTATATTTTCAGAAAGTCTAACAACTTACAGGTTGAAGCTTTGTAACTTGATGCTATATCTTTTTGGATTCATCACCCGTGGCTTTTGATGTACTTTCACAAAGTAATTGAAAGCAACTAAAACTAACTTTGAATCAGAAATAGCTATAGCAAAGATAGATAAATTCCTCGAGAATATACTACTAGAGAAAATGTGGAATAACCTTACATCGCACTTCAACAAAAGCATTAAACCACAGAAGAAACGTGCCAGATTACTGATACATAATTAATTATGGCCTAACTGAGCTGAAGATAAAAATTAAAATGCCATGGATGCACAGATACCGGGTGCCAGCTGATCTTGAGAAATGCTCGACATGTTCTTGATATTCGTCTTAATCTTATTTCTACAGGAAAACTTGATGATGAGAGCTATCATAACTCGCAAGGTGGAGGCAAATGAAAACTCAACAAAGGAAATCTCGTTGTTGCCAGAGGAAAGAAGCAGAGTACCCTCTACTTGATACAAGTCAAGTTGGGGAAGGGAGAAGTGAATGCAGTTCGTGATTTTTCAACTGACCTTTGGCATAGGTGACTTGGACACATGGGTAAAAAGAGAATTCAGACACTTGTTCGCAAGTAACTCCTACCTTGATTTAGAGATAATGTACTTAAATCTTATGTTGACTGCATTTATGGAAAACAACATAGAGTCACATTTTAAAATTTTTCTCCATCTAGAAAATTAAATCCGTTAGAATTAGTGCACATTGATATTTGCTATATGAAATATAGGTCTCTTGATGGTGATGTTTATTTTGTAACTTTTATTGATGATTTTGCTAGAAAAGTTTGGTGTTTTGCTTTGAAATCCAAAGATTAGATTTTGGATGTGTTTAAAAATTTTCATGACAAGCAATTAAAGTGTGTTCGCGCTGATAATGGTGGTGAGTACATGAGACCGTTTGAAAGTTACTGCAAGTCCCATGGGATCGGACTAGAAAAGACAGTACAAAAAACTCCTCAAGAGAATGGAGTAACAGAAATGATAAATAGATCCATCACTGAGCGAGTCAGATGTATGCTCTCCAATGCTAAGATGTCAAAATCCTTTTAGAGTGAGGCAATGAGGACTACAGTTGATTTGATTAATCTTTCTCCATCAATTCCTCTAGATGGTGATGTCTCAGAAAGAGTATGGATGGAAACAGATATGTCTTTTGAACACTTGAAAATTTTTGGTTATTGAGCATTTATTCATATTTTCAAAGATGAGAGATTAAAACTTGTTGTAAAATCAAAATAGTTTATTTTCTTGAGTTATGAACATGAAAATTTTGACTATAAGTTGAATGATCCTGTTGAAAAGAAAGTGATCAGGAGTAGAGATGTTGTCTTCTTTGAAGATCAAATCATTGAAATATTGATAAAGGTGACAACAAAAAATCCTCAAATGACATTTCTGCTAGTTCAAATCCAGATCCAGATCCAACTCCAGTATCTGTTGATTTTAATCAATGGGGAGTTGAGACAGAGTAGAAAGAAGATATTGATGATGGTGATGATTCTCCTGCTGATGCACCTGAACATGAGGCGCCACCTACTCTACCACTGCCACTACAAGATGAGTTTACGAAATCTAATAGAGAGAGGAGACCTTCTAGCAGATATAATCCCCATGAATATGTGTTGTTGACAGATGGAGAAAAGCCAGAGTCATACTGTGAGACTCTAGAGTATGAGGATAAAGAAGATTGGTTGCAAGCCATGTAAGAAGTGATGGTGTTCCTGCATGAGAATCACACTTATGACTTATTGAAACTGTCTAAGGGAAAGAGAGTTCTGAAAAACAAATGGGTTTACAGGTTGAAAACTTAGGGACATAGCTCAGAATCAAAGTAAAAAGCAAGATTGATTGTGAATGGATTTAGTCAAAAGAAGGGTGTAGATTTTGAATAAAGTTTCTCTCCTGTGGTAAAGATGTCGTCAATTCGAATTGTTTTGGGTATTGCAGCCAGATTAAACTTGGAGATCGAGCAACTTGATGTGAAGACAACCTTCTTGCATGGTGAATTGGAAGAGAAGATTTACATGAAACAATCGGAAGGATTCGAAAAAAATGGCAAGGAAAATCTTATATGCTGTCTCAAGAAGAGATTGTATGAGTTGAAACAGGCACCGAGGTAGTGATACATGAAATTTGATTCCTTCATAACAGATCACGAGTACCACAGGATTACATTTGATCATTGTGTTTATTTGAAAAAAAATTTCTATGGAATTCTTGGACACCCAGCGACTAAAGTTCATGGAATTCTTTACTATGTAGTCCCGTTTGCTTATAGTATGGGCCTGATTTCTGATGAACTATATGAGGAATTCTGATGAACAACTTGCATGCGAGACAAAATAGTTAAAAACTTGTCTATTAAAAATTAAACTAAAAACTTGCATGCGAGACAGGTTCTGGAACTGATCAAGAATTGTACTACAGTTGTAAGGCCACAATTATAGGATCAACAATTTGTTGCTCTATGACTATAAGATTAGTTATTAAGGCCCTAAAACTTACCTTTGATGATCTTCTCTTTTCTAGTTTACATAAGCTAGATTGATTACATAATATTTGGAGAAAAATTTACCATCCCGAGGTTAAAACTGAGACATTTCCATTTATGGCTTCAGGGATACATACTTGGACACCCAGCGACTAAAGTTCATGGAATTCTTTACTATGTAGTCCCGTTTGCTTATAGTATGGGTTTGATTTCTGATGAACTCTATGAGAAATTCTGATGAACTATGGGAGGGACGTGGGGGGAGGGAGAGAATAGGGAAGAGGGGCAGAAGAGGAGGTTGCAAGCTGGTGACGTCGACATCGGCTGGCTGACAGTGGCGGGTTGAGGTGGGGGAGATGGAAGAAAATGATGGAAAAAGTGAAAAATTTGCGTGTTCTTAGATATTACGGGATGTGTACATTAAAAATTTTGAGATGTTTATAGAGGATTGCCGTAAAAAAAATAGTTAAAAAACTTGTCTATTAAAAATTAGACTAAAAACTTGGATGCGAGAAGGTTCTGGAACTGGCCGAGAATTGTACTACAGTTGTAACTAAAAACAGTAAAAGCTATACTACAACTTCATAATACATATTCAAACATAAAATTTCGTATTGGTTTACATCTCATAAATGTACCTCAAAAAACATATTATCATAAGATATAGTTAACGTATAAGACACACGAAAAATTTTTCCCTGTAGTTTATTTCATTAATAATTCTCACCTTACGAAAAAATTTTAAAGGTTTCAACTGAATGTTATGGTCTAAAAAACATTTTTATAGTCAAGAAATTAAGTAAACGAAATGGATATTTATGGTCATTAGATATAAGATAAAAAAATAGTAACTACCTTTGGAAAGTTTCAAGAAGGGGCTCTTTGTACAAAAAAGTTGACAATATATATATATATATATATATATATTGAATCTTTATTAGAAATAAGACAAATAGTAACTACCTAAAACTTTGGCGAGGAGTAAATTAAAACTAGCCTGTAGATTTATAGATGTAACCGCAATTAAATATTTACCAAAAGCAATGGAAATTAATTTGCTATTTAGTTTGTAATTTTCTAGTTTTTTATTTACCTATGAATCTATATCGTAAATTGCGCCAATTTGTAATTTTTTAACCAAATTTTTAGTCAAGCTTTGGAGAAAATTTTGTTCAATATGCATAAGTATAATAGTTATTAAGTTTCATTGCACTTTTTCTTCATCTGATCCTTAGTAACACTTTGTCCTTGTATCAAAAAAAAAAATTGTCCAAATGAGCTTTAGATATGTACATCGCACCCCCTTCTATGATCAATCAAATATTAGAAACAACCTTTCCATGCAAGAACTTGTTGAAATGAAATTAGTGCCCCAAGATAATACTTGTATGGATGATGCCACATTTTCAGACCAAAATATGCAAGGTCTTAATGGATTAAAAGTACTGCACTTAGGTCACGCTATATAAAGTAAATATATAAGAACAAATGATAGAATGGAGAAGAATTGACTAGAAGTTGTAAAGGC